TTAATTTTCTTTTTTTTCTTTAAAGTCAGTGGGAATGCAGAACAATTTTCTCCTTTTACAAAAGTACTGTAGTTCATTACATTTTTTTTATACCTGATCATTTGATAAGTAGTTTCTGCAGACTAATGTGTGTTGTCAGTTTGTCTCCATTAACTTTGGTAATCACTGAGTAATTTTTTTAACCAGTTAGCATGTTCTAATAAATATGTGGGGTGTTTTTTGTTTTTTTGTTTGTTTTTTTTGGATGATGAAAAGTGATACAATCTAATAATGGATTCCTGCTCATTGTAGTCTGAATTCAGTTGGCTCAGACCTCCTTTTTTTAAACCAACCACTAGTCTCACTTCTGTTATAACAATGTATGATGTTTTGTTGAATGAAACCTCAATGCAATTATTATTCCATTAAATAGTCACAAACGTTAGAAAGGGTTTATTTTCATCACATGCTTACCGAACCTTGTGTACAGTTAATGAATGTGTGTTTGAGTATTTTTTTGTTTTTTCTAACACTGATGGTGCTGTTTTTAGTTAAAACAGCCAAAAATATATTTAGATCATAGCTTTGAGTGGCATTGATTGGTGGTTACAATAATTTTTTAAGCTCTCCACTGATCGTTCAGAGCGTTGGAGGTACCTTTCAGCTTAAAGCAGCTCCACTCCATCACTCAGCGTTGCTCGTCGTGTTCCCGTAAATCACAGAGTAGAATTTCTGTACTTATTCAGCTTTTACTCTTCTCCACAATATTAACCCTGTCTTAACCAGGCATATACACAGTGACTCATACTCACACCGACTGTTAACTACAAAGCAACATGTCTTGTCCCTGCAATTTGGCTTTGAGATTTTTAACAAATAAATGATTGCCATCGGTTCGTGTGTGGATGTGCTTTATTTTCTGGCAGCGGGCGTCAGTGGTAAAGCATCTGAGAGATTTCCATAGCGAGGTCCAGGCATTCTGTAGCCTGGAGGCACAAGTCGCACAACGGACAGTCGCTCTGGAAGCAGCGAGAAACACCCAGACACCCGCAGAGGTTGCAGTGGTGCATCACCCCCAGGAGAGGCTCGCAGTCGTAGAAGGACGAGCACAGCCACCAGGCGCACCCGTTAAACCCCCTCAGCGTGGACAGGATGCAGTCCAGTGGGTGGCAGAAGAGGCAGGCCATGAGGATTGCAGCACAAAGGTCTCGCATAGAAGAGAAGGGTTAGTGAGGAAAGATGCAGAGAGAAAACGGATATGTGGGAACAATAAGATGAAATAGGATTTCACTAAAGTTTATTGTCCTTACCCTCTGCGCCTGGGTCGGTGTGAGCAGAAGTGGTTTTAAGGCTTTCTTGGCTCTTGCCTTTTGGTTTGGGTGGATGGTTCAATTCATGGACTGTGCTGGCCTCCAGAGAGGACGGCAGCAAGGCGCTGCGAGGTTTTGGCTGCTCCTTTTCCACAGATTGTGGACTGCAGATAGATACTGCTCTGGTCACTCCTGACTTCGGTATATTTTGCATGTTACATTTTTTGGGAGCTTCTGTGTGAGACAGAGGAAATTCTTGTGAAAACATTTTTTCAGAGGATAAAATTACAAACAAAGAACTCACAGGTCACCGTACCTACTGTTCTATGGGGGAAGACATTCGTAGAGAGGTCCACTGAAGATAATTCGGTGTCCTCAGTGGAGATCTGCTCTGAAAAACTATTGACTTCAATCAAAGATTCTGGAGGCACAGAAACAAGGAGGAATCGGGTTACTAAGCATGTGTGTTTTCATTATTATCTGTTTCATGTGAGCATACCTGTAAGGTCTGCAGTGGAATCACGTGTAACGGGCAACTTTGAGATAGCAGGTAGTGGATCGTGGAGCTCTGCTTTGTCAGCATTTCTATTGTACGTTTTTTCAGTCGTATCTGCAGATTTGAGCATGTCATCCATCGTTGCAATCACTTGAATATGTCATCTGCCTCTGTCTTTGTAAAATATGGAAAACAATGTTTAAATGACATATTTAATTAAAGATTAGCAGTGATTATTATGTTTAGATTATTTCTCCTCTTAAACTGGAATAGATGACTTTGTAATGCTGTAATGAAAAGCCATTGCCATCATTCTGTGCCACTACCAGAGAGCCAGAGTCTCTAGCTGAGGTTTTGTAGCTGTCAGTAATGAGTGGACATCTTGGGAAGTTAATCTATTATTTATCTCCATTTTAGATACATTCATAATGTAGATGAAAGCTAGTACACTCATATCCTGACAGCAATATGACGAAGTGAGATCTTGAGTTTGCACTCATTAAAAATTTATTTCTTGAAGTAGTGCTTACCTTCTTTGACATTTTTCACACAGAACATTTTATCCACATTTCTGCTTTTTGATGAAATTTATGACAGAGACAATCTACAAGGTAAGGTAAGGGCACGCGAGAATAAGTAAAAAGCAATGTGTCAAAAGTAACATATTTAGATTGGTATATTTAATACATTTGAAGATTATTAGTCACAAGCCATAAATACTTGAACAGTGTGCTTTGGAAATATGTCAGCATCTACAAAGTCTGTCAAGTTTATTTCTCCTTATTAGCTTCATAGGAAACAAGGCATACTTACATTTCACAGCATTTTGTAGAGGACGATCCAACACGCAGCCTTAATCACATCTCTCAGTGGTGGAGGTGTAACTGCTGCCATCGTCGTGCACAATCTCTCTCACTCTCTGTCTCTCTCCATCTCTCTCTCTTTCCCTCTCTGTGAGTGTGTTTGTGTTAGGTGAGTGGGGGAGACACACCGAAAATGTAATATATTTGCTTATGTAAATAACCTTTTACGTCCTACCTAATATTAGTGGTACTTTTATACTACTGTAGTGCCTACATTTACTATAAATAAGCAAATCTTAACAAGAAATCGTGAAGCCATATTATTGTATCAGCCTATCAGTGACTAAATGGTGTGTCAACCAATGACTGAATACATATATATCTCAAAAGAAAGAACAAAAACTCAAAGTTTAACACTTGATAGGAAAAGACAGACTGCTGGGACATGGTATCATTAGCAGGGATTGTGTTAGGGGATGCAAACAAGGAAAAGAAGCTGAAGTATGCCAAGTTAATCAGGTACTGGACTGAAAGTCAGGGGCAAAAGGTTTGATGGAGTGATGACTCCAAATTTAGTCTAAATCATCATCATCGTATGCAGAGGAGGTCAGGAGAGCCGTCTACAGACGTACCGGGAGTGCAGAATTATTAGGCAAATGAGTATTTTGTCCACATCATCCTCTTCATGCATGTTGTCTTACTCCAAGTTGTATAGGCTCGAAAGCCTACT